TATTAGTTTTCTTTCGCATGCTTTAAATACTATGAAAAACTCCTAAAAGTTCTAAGATTTTCAGTTTGCTTACTGCATGTTTTCCTTAGGAGAAGAATTAAAATTCTTGACATTTTGACTTCCGTGGCTTAACTTTTATTTGTTTTAGTATGCTTACTGTTAGGTTCCAAACATTGAACTTGGAGAACTCAAATAAGATCACTTCTTTTCCCCCCCTCTTAAAAAAAAAAAAAAAAATCAATATACTAAGCATCTTTCTGATTTTTATGTTTTTTCCTAGTTGGATGAAAAATCTGACAAACAGTATGCTGAAAATTACACAAGGGTGAGTATATAAATTCCTATGGGAATTAAGTTCCCAAGATCAGTTAAAGTTACTTTCCATGATTTGTTCATTCTTTATTTTACTATAATTTGTCAGATGTAGTTACTCTTCCTCCCTTCATCTATTTCCTGTCCTTGATCCCTCAAAATTCCTCCGAAGTTAAATCATAAGAAGTCCTGGGAAGGGAAAAGACTACATTTATTATGTCATTTCTTAGTTTTTAGCTGCTCTTTTGATTTTTATTTCTCTGGAAATTGATCTCAAGAAGCCATTAAACATTGGAAAAAATAGTGTCTATAGGATTGATGGTAACAAAACCTTGAGGACTTTTTCTTATATTAGATAAATTATTTCTTGAAGAAAAATAACTACTTTTTAGAAGTTCCTTTTGTGATAAACTTGGTAATTTTATTTTAAAAGTATTTTTAGAAGGTCAAGGAAATAATTTCTCAGAATTAATACTGTTTTACCCAAGAAAGATCAGCTTTGTAAAATAGGAATATAATGCAGGGCAGATATTAAGGATATTTAAGTTTAATTTCTCTAGTAGTCACATCTAAAAAGTGAAAAGAAAAGTAATATTTAGCCTTACTATCCAAACTATTTTAACATATAATCAAACTGAAAAATTAGTGATTTTTTTTTTTTTTTAATCTTTTCTCCCAAACTAAGCCTTCCAGATTATGCATTTTATGCCTAAATCTCAATTTGTACTGATCATGTTTCAGGTGCTGAGTACACGTAACATGTGGCTAATGGCTGTAGTTGACAGCACAGATCTGTAGCATTCATCAGTCAGTAACATAATCTTAATGTTTAAGTTGATTTTGGTATGAGCACTCCAGATTTATAGTGATATACAAAATATGGTTGTTTGGGCTGCAAATAAAGTCTTTATATTTATGAACAAAGTATTAGGGAAAAAATAGATTCTTAAGGAGTTTTAGGAACTAAATAGGGAAGTGCTAATTACTGTCCTAGTTGTACAGTTCTAAAACTGCTTTAAATTAATCTGTTGGGCTAATCTCCTGAGTATTACTTAAATATAGCAAAAATAAACTTAGAAAATAAACAGCTCATTTAAAAACTATTTCCTTCTTGGTTATTTTGAATTTTAGGTTTTGACAAGGTTTTTGATTTAACAAAATTATGTTTAATATGCCTAGACTCTGTTCTTGATACTTCCTTCCCCCCACACCACCCACATATCCTATCAGGTGTACTTGGTGACTTCTCAGCTGCATTGCATTAGTATGTCCTTCTGAAACTCATACCTGCTCCCACAACCCTGCACCATGTGTGTCCACAGCAAACAAAGGAACAAACATTCAGCAGTGTCTGTTTCTCGTTCTCTAGCCTTCATCTCGAAACTCTGCCTCAGCAACAACTCCTCTGAGTGGAAACTCATCCAGACGAGGAAGTGGGGACACCAGCAGCTTAATAGACCCAGACACCTCATTAAATGAATTGCGGGTAAACTCAATTTTTTGTTTGATTTTAAAAGTGCTTTTGTTTCTTTGCAGTGTACTGGAACTTTTATTATTTAGTGTGACTTACTAGGAGTATGAATTCTTTTACAAAGATGCCTAATGCATTTAAAAAATTTGAGTTAGATGTCTTAGAGCCTGAAAGGAAAGAGATTAATTTTTTTTTCTCTTTCCTGAAAATTTAATGGTATTGTTTGGAATGAATTTTCCTAATGCTAAAAAACCTTCTTCGTTATGGGGCCCTGCCCCTTAGCTCAGTTCTTTAAGTGGCTGCTTCAACTAAGCAGTCAGGCTCAGGTTGCTGTGGTTTGATCCCCACAACACAAGCCAGCCAGTCATGCCTTGAAGGCATTCGGAGCAAAAAAAAAAAACAAAAAAAACAAAAAAAACAAAAAACCTTCGTTATTATACATGTAAAAGTAATTCTTTCTGAATTAATTGACCATATTTTAAATGGAAAATATATGGATTTACAGAAAACCAGATTGAATATTATAAGCCTTCTGAGCCACTGTAATATCATTTGGCTGATTTAATAGTTACCTCAGTTTTTCATAGTAATAGAAGTACATACATTTGTATAGTGGAAATACGTAAGATAATAAAAAGCTTATTAAGTCATTAGTTGAGTCTCCATACTCATCACCCCCTTTGTTTGGAAGACAAGAACCTAAAAACATGCTTGAATGTCATTTTCCAGAACCTGCTATTAAGAATAGAAAGTATGTTGATAGAAAATGTATCCCTTCATTCCTTGATCCATTAGTTCAAAGTTTATTGAATATCTGGCACTAGAAATTTATTAGAAAAATATTCTCTCTTTTAAGCGGTCACTTCTCAGAGAAGACAAATTGACATAAACTAGGGAAACTAGTTGATATGATGCCCTGGTAGTAGTAAAGAATAAAGTAAGTTAATCCGAAAAGCACCATCTAAATTTAATTTGGGAGAAAATATAACAAGGCTTTTCATGAAAGACAAATTCTGAGATGAGGTTTACAGGAATAATAAGCATTAAGCAAAGAAGTTGAAAAGGGCAAAGTTTCTCAGATACATTCAGGGAACTAAAACATCTGTACACTAAAATTGCCAAATGGTAGGATAAGAAATAAGAAGTAGTGGAGCGGGCAAGAAGGAATGCTAGAGAAATGGTGGGCAGCCAAATCACAAACTGTGTTTTGGCTAGCTTGAAAGGAATTAAATTTTACCTTGACAACTGTGGAACATTCAATAGGGCAGCAAGATAGCTGATTTGTATTCCTAAAAGTAATTTGGCATCAGAAGATGTATTGGAGCCAAGGAGAATAGTGATGCTGTAGTTGAACAGTGAGGATGAAGTAGCAGTCAAAACTGTGAAGGGAGAAAATACAAGAAAATCGCTTTCAGTTGGCTATATGAAGCAAGAAGTTGGAATCAGAAAATGAGAGAGAGAGAGACAGAAAGAGATTAAGAAAATAATAGGTTTTAATGGTAAAATCATTTATTATTTTCATGAAATGGATTGAGCCAGTAGTACATAGGGTAGAGAAAGAAGAGGTGAGTGTAATTGACACAGCAGACTGCCTGAGGGCTGAAAGGCCAGGGCTCAGGAACATGGATTTGACTAGAGTGGAGGCTCTATTGCTGACACCGTAGAGGAGGAGATAGAGACAGGTAGTGAATGAATAAGATTATAGGGTAGGAATAGGTATCTTTTTGTGTGAAATAAGCTTTGAGAAAGAGAGTTGGAACTTAGTGGGGAGGATGGAAAGGTTTGAGACAGTAGCACAAGGAGAGCTGATCTAAGCCAGCAGGTTGGTGACTTCAAAGGTGTCAGTATTTATTAAGCTCTTGGTGTAGGAATTTACCAAGAATAAGTGCTGGTTGTGCAGTCAAAGCAGTTCTTGCATTTAGATGCTAAAAAGGATAGGAATGTTGAGGCTCAGACTTAACTTGTCACAGTACTTGTTGCTTGTTTTTCTTCCTTGAGAGAATGACCTCCTTGAAGACAGATTTTTGTGTCTTAGTACTGGCATCTCCAAAGTTCTCAGTAGATGCCTCTTGCATGGACAATGAGTAAAAGACAAATCTACCAGGGAGGGAATGAAGGGAGCAGGGAAAGCCTAATACCAAAAATGGGTTCTGATTGATGCTGTCTGTAACTGTAGAATGGTGTTCAGAGTCCTAGGGCAATTATAGTTCACCTAAATTGAGTATCCCTGGGGCCAGGGAGATGGCTCAGTGGAATAAGCACTTCCCTGGCAAGCACAGGGGCCTGAGTTCAATCCCCAGTTCTGATAAATAAATAAATAAATAATAGATAGATAGATAGATAGATAGAGTATCCCATCCCACACAAGGAAACAATATTTTCCATTTAATGTTTGAGCAATTTCACTTAGAAGAATTACAGTAACAGTTGGAGCAAGTGTTTTCCTCATTTTATAAATTGTATCCTCAGAATAGAATATCTCATTCAACTTTGTATTTTAAACTTTGTGTTTATATTCTGTAGGGACTTAAAGTTCAACATATCAATACTTGATGAAAAATACCTGTTCCATGTTATGCCTAAGATGTTTGATATGCAGACAGATAGTGAGGTTAAGCTTAACAGCCTAAGTTGTATGGTAATAACAATAAGCTTTCTTCTGAAGGGTTAACAACCTAAGTTTGCAGACCAAAATTAGAGAAAAAGGAGGGCTGCAAGGAAAGCCAACGTTTTGGCCCTAGCCTTCCAAGATCAATTAAGACTCAGGACATATGAGAACTTGTACTGTAACGTCATGTAACTCGGTAGTGTTCCAAATTTTCTGATCAAGGAGATTATGGGGCCAAAGAGGAAAGTGATCAACGATGTAGTGTGTGCCTAAGGAGAGTCACATGGAGAGAAAACATTCTCTCAGGCTTTCACAGAGAGCACATTGGCCAAGCAATGGCCGTGACTTATTCATAGGACTGACACTGACAAACAATCTGAGGTACAGGATCTCAAGATAAATCCTGAGGGGATTTCACTGACCTTATCAGACCCAAAAGCTACAACGCTTGTTGCATAGGTCCTGCTTTACCTTGGTCTTAACCATCCAGCAGAAAAGTATAAAAACAAAACATAAGAAGTAAAGCCATGCTGTTATGTTGAACTGTAGGGGAATCAGGTGAACAATTTCTGACATTGCCAATGAAGTGGAAGACCCAATACTATTAGGGACTAATGAACTCTTTTAGATTATTTTGCTGAGTTAACACACCTATAATATTGAAAGAATGGAACTTAACAAAAAAAGGGTATACAGATGAATGTCCATTTTGTATCTGTGTATTCAAAGTGGTTGGGATAGATATATAGTTACATTCTCTTAATGAATAGAGTGATTTATTCTAATGGTGTTTGTAGATAGGATATCATGTCCGCATCTTGTACAGCAGTTAACCACTGGGAGGAATGTATGCAATGTGTTAATTATTGAAACTGTCCTACCAATTTGATTTGAAACTGTCTCATTGCTATTTGCTTATCAATAAAATTATGGAAAAAAATAAAAAATAAACTTTGTGTTTAAAATCACCCCGTTAATTGTTGTCAGCAACCAATTAATTGACAGTTTTGTTCATGTATAATATTTCATGAAGCTTACATATTAATAAATTTTCTTATAAGTAATATGTATTTTACTAGTTGAAAGGTGATATTATGCTAAAAATTATTTGTGACTTAAACATTTTTAAAGTTATGCTAACATGGCATTTTATATATAGTCCTGCCACCATTTGCTGATGCTTTTCTTAACAGCGTTAATGCCAAGAAAATAACACTACATTAAATACTCCAGCTCTTTCTCCAACTGATTTCATCTGACCTATTTGACTCGTTTAGGGGTTTGTTGAGGTAGAGTTATGTTTTTGTACTTTGATTTTCCTACTTTTAGTCTGGAATATACAAAAGTAAGTATTATTTTCATCTGACTCCTTTTAGAATTAAGATATGTTTGTGCATGGTTTTATGCAATGGTTCATTCCTATGTCCTACAGGATATCTATGACCTTAAGGACCAGATACAGGATGTAGAAGGGAGATACATGCAGGGACTTAAAGAACTAAAGGTATCAGGGCCAATTTTGCAGCCTAAAGCATGCTCTGTACGCAGAAATGTTGGTAATGGTTTCACAAGTTCTTTTAACCCATTGCACATAGCTTTACTAACAGTGTTTGTCTTTCAAGCATGTGCTTAACTGGCAAAGCATAAGAAAGGTGAGCTTCCAATCACTGCTTGTATTTAAATGTTTAGTAGTATTTCTAGAATACTCAGCAGAAGATATACTACTACATAGTTTTCAAGACTTGTATAGTATCTGCATAAGACACCTTGTCTCTTTTGTCTTAGCCATACAAAATTAATTGGGTAAACATCTAAAAATATTCTAATAACATCTATATTGACAGTTGGATCTTCATATTCTTCTCAGCCAAATGCAAATATATTGTCTAATTCTGTTCCCAAACTCAGTCCAAACTAAAAGTGGGAGAAAGAGGTACCTGGGAATATTATGAATATGTACTCTAGAAGAAAGAACCTGTTAACAGGAGATGTATGTTTTATTTTTGTTTACATTTTTTATTCATGGATCAAATATGATTGCATAGGTTTCTAGTATTGTCAAGAATTTGGAGGGAAATTTAAATGGGCATTATCTTTTTGAATAAGAATGACTACTAGTTTTAAGTACCAGCATGTGGGGTGAACATTTTGGTTGTGTCATTTGTTGACTATGCTCTTCTTTTCCTCTGGATTTGCTAGGACTTTGAAGGCTAGTATTATAAAAGCTTCAAGGATTTTGTAAATATTGTGTACTGTTTGAAATCAAAATACATAACCAACACTTTTTTTTTTAACTTTTAAAAAAAATCTTTTATTTATTTGGTACAGGGTCTCACTATGCAGCTCAGACTCATAGTGATCCTCCTGTCTCAGCTTCCCCAGTGCTGGGATTATAGGTGTGCACCGCCACACCCAATTTTGGTGGTAGGCATAGCATGCAGTACTAGGGCTCAAATCCCAGTCCTTGCACTTGCCAGGCAAGCACTTTGACTGCTGAGTTATCTGCCTAGCTCCATAACCAACTTTCTAAAAAAGTTAAGACATTGAGAATGATAACTCAAAAACATAACCTCATAAGCAAGGCTTTCATCATTCTCTCTGGCATGATTTGAAGTATCACCGATATTAGCCAAAACCTTTATGAGGGTAGTGTATCCATAAGGAACTCACCATTATAACCCAGGACCAAAATTGTCAGGAATGCCTACAGAGAGTACCATGAAGGAGGCCTAGAAGCTGCTGATAAGACCCCAGGAGAGTTTGCCAGTAAACATTAAGAGAACTGCAGAATTAGTTGATTTTGTCATATGAGTGTGTGAGTGCGTGCGTGCGTGCGTGCGTGTGTGTGTGTGTGTGTGTGTGTGCGTGTGTGCTGGGGCATGAATCCAGGCAACTTCACAACTAAATTATATCCCCAGACCTTTTTTCCTCTCCCCCTCCCCTCCTCTTTCTTTTCCTCTTTCCTCCTGCTCCCCCTCTCTCCTCTGACTCCCTGTGTCCTCTCCTTTTCCCTTTTTTAGACAAGGTCTCACTAAATTTCCTGGCCTAGCCTTAAACTTGTGATTTGCCCTGCATCAACCTCCCAAATAACTGAAGTGATAGGCGTGCACTGTGGCACCTAGTGCTCCTTTAGTCTCACTGCTCCAGTCTTCAAGATTCAGTTACTTTTTTAATTATGTTATATTTTAAATACATAACTTGTGAAAATATCTTGGATTAAGGTTTCAAATTCAGTACATCAGATGGATTCATCATATTAAAATTTTACATGTAGTTGTATTAGGAAAGAAATCAAATGATTTGAAAATTTATTATGTTTGCCATTTGGGGTGCTTTATTGAGCTTTTGCTTCCATCCTTTATTCAGGAAAGTTGATCAATAATATTACAGTGTTTGCCATGTTCCATAGGATGTACTTTTTGGAAAATACAGTAAAATACCTTTTGTGTGTGTGTGTGTGTGTGTGTGTGTGTGTGTGTGTAACCAGGGATTGAACTCAGGCCCTTGCGTTTGCCAGGCAAGCACTTATTCTACTGAGCCATCTCCCCAGCCCCAAAATACTATTGAAAAATGTAAGTAATCTGTTTATAAATTGAAGAAGTAGCTAAGTATTACTAAAATTAATACTTTAAAAAATTTTAGTACAAAAGTTTAGTGCAAAATAAAAAAGCATAGTACATCTATTTGTAGTGACTGGAAGCTTTCTGCAACATTAAAAATAAGGGGCAAGCTATAGAACAAAATATAGTGTATGATCTTTAGAAATTTAAGAATTTTAACTATAATGATTACATTTATGGTAGGAAGATGGTACAGTATGTAACACATCTTGGGAAGCAAAAATAATTCAGATGTGTTAAAAACATAAACAGAGGCAGGGCCGGCCAGATAGCTCAGTGGACCACAGTGCCTGCTTAGGTAAAGCACAGTGGCAGGGATCTATCCCTGGGTGTGCTTTGCCTGCCCCGACCCCAGGATGTGCTGAGACTGGGCATGGTCGATGTACAGAGGCAGGGTATCATGTTGTATTTCCTTCACTGAGAAAATACCTGAAAAAAACAAGTTGAAGGAAGAAGTGTTTATTTTGGGTTCATGGTTTCAGGGGTTGCAACCTAAAGTCACTTTACTCCATCTGGGCCAGGGGTGGGGAAGAACAACATGGTGGAGAGCATGTGATGAATAAAGCTGTTCATCTCATTGCAACTGTGAAACAGAGAGACAGAGAGAAGGAGCTGGGGATCAAATGTACCCATCAGAGGCATACCCCAAAATGATCTACTTCTCCAAATAGGCCCTACTCCCAATGTTTCTATCACCTTACAATAGCTTATTTACACAAGAATCCATAAGTGGATTAATGCATTCATTTTAGTCAGAAACTTCATGACTTAACCTTCTCCTCCCAAAGGTCCCCACCTTTGAGCATAGCTGCACTGGGATGAAGCCTTCAATACATGCACCTGTGGGGGACATTTAAGTTCTAAACAATAACAGGTCCAGATATATGAGATAGAATAGTACTCCACCACACTGATGGTACTCCCTCCACTCTTCTGGAGGGAGCATGGTGGAAAGAGAATTTTGCTTAGTCTGTCTTATTTAGTTTTTGTTCTAGTGTAAATCTTATCATTCTGCATAGCTTCTCAGATACTGTAATACTGGGATCATTGTAGTGACTTTGCTTATATTCATTTTATTTAAATGTTCCCAGTACCTGATTCAATCTTGCCTACCTAATCAATTCTGGTTTGTGAATCATTACTAAAAGTGTGTTTGTATCTACCGAGGTATATATACTTCACACACCATAAAAATTTAAACATGAGGGTCAGCCAGATAGCTCAGCAGATTAAAGCACCTGCTTAGGCAGAGCATAGAGGCTGGGGTTCAATCCGTGTTCATGTCCCCGGGGCAAGCTGAGAAGGCTATTAAGACTGGGTGTGGTGGTAGGCGCCATTAATCCCAGTGTTTTGGAGGTTGAAAACAGGGGAATCATTACAAGTCTAATCTACGTAGTGAGACTCTGTAGACTATACTAAATATATTAAAAAATTTAAACATGAAGTACATAATCATTGGTCTTTAGCATAGTCAGAGTTGGCACCTGTGCCCACAAACCAGTATCTTCATCACCCCCAAAATGAACCTGGAACCCATTAGCAGTCTTTTCTCATTTGTTGTTTCCCATTCCCTTCCCAGCCTGGGCATCACTAACTTTTTGCCTCTAGATTTGCCCATTCTGGACATTTCATATAAATTAAATCATATGATACATGGTCTTCTTTGATTGGTTTTTCATTTAGCATAATTTTTTCATGATTTGTGCATTTTGTAATATGTATTGGTATTTTTAAATGACTGGATAATATTCCATTACATGGATTTACTAGATTTTGTTTACCCATTTGTCAACTGATAGTATATTAGAATTATTTCTACTTTGCTTTGCTATTATGAATAATGCTATGAAACATTTGTAGTTTTTTATATAAGCATTTGTTTCTCCTGGGTAGAAAAGTAGAAAAAACAAAACAAAACTAAAAACCTACTAGATCATATAGTAACTCCATCTTATCCTTTTGATGAACTGCTGAACCATTTTCTATTGTTGCTGTTTATTTTATGTTTCCACCAGAAGTTCATGAAAGAGTCAATTTTCACACATCCTATCACTTGATATCTTGTTTCTGTTTCTTTTTTGGGGGGTGGGAGTGTGTTAAGAGATTGAATCCAAGGTCTCAGACAATGCTAAATTTGTCCTGTACTATTGCCCCTATCTTTTTTTATTGTAGATTATAGTCATCATAGTCAATGTGAAATAGAATGCCATTGTATGATTTTGATATGCATTTCCCAAATGATTAATTCTCCTATTTTGTGTGCTGTCTTTTTTTCCCCCATTTTATTGATATCATTTGCAATAGTCTTTGGATCATCATATTTTTAAAAGTCTTATTTAAAGAAATGTTTTTATTCCCGGGCAAGCACAAGGGCCTGAGTTCAATCCCAGGTTCCGCCAACCCCTTCCTCCAAAAACCAAAAAAAAAAAGTTTTAAAATGTCATGAAGCCTGTTTTTCTTCTTTAGTCAATTGTGCTTTTGGTTTTGTAATTTAGGAAGCTTCTTTTTTCTTTTCTTTTCTTTTTTTTTGAGAGAGGATCTTGCCATACAGTTTTCAGGCTGACCTTGAACTCACTATGTAGTCTAGGTTGGCCTGGAACTTGTGATCCTCTTACCTCAGCCTCCCAAACACTAAGATTACAGGCATGTGCCACTATGCCTGGCCTAAGAAACTGTTTACCTATTCCAACACCACGAAGATTTTGCTTCTATATTTTCTTTGAAAGGTTTTATAGTTTTTTGTTTTGTTTTGTTTTGTTTTTTTGCGGAACCGGGGATCGAACTCAGGCCCTTGCGCTTGTCAGGGAAGTGCTTATTCCACTGAGCCATCTCCCCGGCCCCCAAGGTTTTATAGTTTTATCTCTTACATTTAGATCTGTAATTCATTGTAAGTATCCAGTTGTCCTAACATCATTTATTCTTCTACCATTGAATTATATGGACATTACTGTCAAAAATCAATTATAACAAAGGTTCTAGATTCTTAGGTCTGCTTTACTGATCTTGCTTGTTAGAATTACACTACTGTTTTAAAATTTTAGTTCCATCAGCAATTTCTTTTTTCTATGAAATAAGTTTATTTTTACCTCAGAAACAAAAATAATATATTTTTTAAAGTGACTAGGAAGTAATTGATAGTTATTTTAAAAGCTATTTTAAGTAGAGAACTTTGCATTGTATAATATTTCAAGCATTGTGTGGTAGTTTGGTGTGTGTGTTTTAGTTTTAAAAAGAAATATAAATTTTTGTATTGCTTATTTTAAAATGACTAAAATTTGGATAATTTCTTGAAAAAGCTGTTTACACATACATACCAGTATTATTATGTTCAGTGGAAAAGTGATGCAAATCAGTCCAGCAAGAGGTAGAATTCAAATGTGTCTAAACTGTACCTGTTTAAAGGGAAGCTCTCATCTATTTATCACTGCACTCTAAATACCAGGCACTTCATTAGAAAGTGCTAGAGTAATATTTCATATATAATTCTATATTTTCTGATGCTTACACACACATATTTTCTGCAAACCTTTTCATCTTTTGGAGGCTAAATTGCGTCTTCATTTTCTGGAGAGTGGAGAGGACATAAATTTCTAGAATGGCATTGTTGGCTTATTATTGTTTTCCTGTTTTATGTGCATGTTACTAAACAAGGAGTTCCCAAACTGCTTGTTTTGCAAAAGTGCATCTTCATGTGTTTGTGCCAGTGCTATAAATTCTTGTACTGCATATAAAAAATGTATGTATTTTAGATCTTAAACTGATTACTTTTTCATTTAGGATTCATTGTCTGAAGTGGAAGAGAAGTACAAGAAAGCTATGGTTTCTAATGCACAATTAGACAATGAGAAGAACAATTTAATATACCAGGTAGATACCCTCAAGGATGTAATTGAAGAGCAGGAGGAACAGATGGCAGAATTTTATAGAGAAAATGAAGAAAAATCAAAGG